CCGGGCACCCCACCCCCCCAGGTATCTCCCTGGGACGGCCTCACGTACACAGTTATCTAGTCCGCACCATGAGGAAGTTGTGACAGAATGAGTCTCAGCCCTCATGGTCCCACACGCAGGAGACGTAACAACATGTAGACACGTGGGCCTGAGCGATTCTAAAGCGGGACCCGTGCGGTGGAGACCTTCGGCCCTCGGGAGCCATGAACTCCCTCAGAGACCAGTGTCTGTGCATCGCCCTCCGGCCCCTCCCCATCCACCCACCGGGCCGGGCGGGACAGCGCCTCCCGGTAAGTCCCTCTCCTGCCCTGGGACTCGCACCCTCAGCACCGTCCCTCCCGGCGACAGGCCTTCTACTCTCTCTCCTCTCCCTCCTGTGGCTCCTCCTTTTTGTTTGTTTGTTTTGTTTTCATATATTTTTATTGATCTCAGAGAGGAAGGGAGAGGGAGAGAGAGAAATATGAATGATGAGAGGGATCGGCTGCCTCCTGCATGCCCCCCACTGGGGACGGAGCCCGCAACCCGGGCCTGTGCCCTGACCGGAATCGAACCCTGACCTCCTGGCTCCTAGGCCGGTGCTCAGCCCCTGTGCCCCGCGGCCGGGCGTCCCCATCTCTTCTCGTGGGAGAGGAGGCCACTTCTCCAAGTGGGGCGACCATGTAAAGACACCAGCTCCCGCGGCGCAGGGAGCTCGTCTGAAACACGTTCCACGTGTTGCTTTTGACAGTAATCGCACCGAGTTGGTGTCTGACTCCGGGGCACGGAGAGAGGCCCTGGGCGCAGGGAGTCGGGGAGCCGGCACACGAGGCTCCGGGAACCGGCGGCGGCAGGGCCTACGACCTTGGAGAGCAGAGCGGGTGACTCACGGCCTCGAGGCCAAACTCATTAGCGGTTTCTGAGAAGGGCGGCGGCCACGGTCTCTCCAGCACGTCCGCCCCGAGTCTGCGCTGACAGGAGCGAGAGCTGTGAGTGTCCCCGTGAGAGGCCACGCAGAGACCGGCCTGCTGACGCCTCGGGGAGCCCCCAGCCCTCGGGCTCAGCCTCACCGCTCCTCCTCCGGACCGTCCCTGAGCCTGGCCGGGCGCGGTCCCTCCTCCCCGCCCTGAGCCCTGCTCTCAGCCACGGGAGCCTGGCCTCCTGGATCCTTGTCCTGTAAGTGTACTCGTGAGGGCTTCTCTGATTTCTCTGTCTCACACCGACCTCACATGCACACATTTATCTAGTCTGTACCATTAGGAATCCTTAGAACCTTTGATATCTAAGGGTTTCTCATTAGCGACACCTGCCCGCACTGCCCAGCACCGTGGGGGGACGAACCCCGACAGCAGGGGCCGCCCTGCAGCCTGTCCCCCAACGATCGGCCCCTCCTCCCCTCTCTGCCCAGGATGCCAAGGCGGTCGACACCCCAAAATCCTTTGGTCTCTGTAACTATGTTGCGGGCAGGGGGCCCCTCTGGGATTCCCTTTCCTTTTAAAAAAAAATATTTTTATTTATTTCAGAGAGGAAAGAAGAGGGAGAGAGAGAGAGAAAAACATCAGTGATGAGAGAGAATCACTGATTGGCTGCCTCCTGCACGCCTCCTACTGGGGATTGAGCCCACAACCCGGGCATGTGCCCTGACCGGGAATCGAACCTGGGACCCTTCAGTCTGCAGGCTGACGCTCTATCCACTGAGCCCCACCAGCCAGGGCTTCCTTTTCCTCTGAACATCACAAAAGCACCCAGAGCTCGAGGGGCT